TCATAATATTAAAATGTTAAAGGTTGCTTCTCTTAATAAATTGTACCATTGTCTTTCAGAAGACTTACATTAATTTATCAGATAACTTTTTAATTTGCATCTGACAAAACGGTTTGTTCTCAATTGTATTATTATTAATTACTTGTTTTACGATTTTCTCTTCAATTTTAAGAGATAAGCATTACTTACTGAGATTCTAACGTTATTTTAGGTATTTTTCTATAAAGTATAGAAATACTATATATAATTTTTATTTATCAATGTTCAGTTCAAAGAAGTTAAATTTATCAATGTTAAATATAAATTTAATTCAAATTTAAAAACTTAAATGTAATTTAAATTACAATCAATGTTAAATTTAAAGAAGTTAAAATATATCAATGTTCAGTTTTAAAAAGTTAAATTTAAAATTCGAATTAAAATTTCGTAGATTTACAATTTGTTTTCTCTTTCAAATCATTTGTACCACGACTACGATTTTACATTATAAAAAAAAGGTTAATATTTTTTTGTTTAATGATAAAGTGACGTTAAAATCAATAAAAATATGAATACTTATTTTGTTTCTTTTTGCGATTTTCAATATCAGATGTTCTAAGATTCTTGAATAGGAACTTCCATTAATATTCGGATACTAAATAATGAAACTGTTATAATTTTGTAAAAAGAAATGATATGATTCCAAATTAAAAAAAAAAAGAATGAATAAAAGCGAAACAACCAATTATATGAAAATTTATGACAAAATCTTATTATTTTTATGTATTTGTACGTATATATTTCCTTGCACGTTTGTGTATCATGTAAAGTAAGAGAACAAAGAACAATGTCATTAATTCATAAATACAAAAATTAGGCGAAATGATATAAGTTACACATAACAAGATTTTTTGAGTAAGATAATTGTAGTAACAAACGCACAGAAATATCACTACTATTGCTAGAAATATCTATCGATTTCTTGTTTCATTAATGATATTCCTTTCGTGATCTTTTGAACAAAATTAATCCTAAAAACAAATTCTGTTATCAATCGTACATTCTACTTATATAATTTCCATTCTTGTACAGACCGTTTTTAGACGATATTATCCTGCGAAAATATATTTCTGAATTGATACAAAAATTCGTTTTTAAATACGAAACTATTATTATTTCAGCAAAAACATGATGGCGGTAATTTTTATTTACGTCAATGGTTTAATTGTTGCATTTATGCTTTTTTTTTCTTCTAGATCCTAACTACGAAGAAAAATTGTTTCCCTAGAATTCAGATTGTGCTCAATCAAAAACAAATTGCGTAAAAAGAAACTAAAAACTTTTTCCTAATTCGCGTTGAACTCACACAAATAAAATTCTACAGAGTTAAGATAAAACTGCGAAAATTTCTAAGTTTTGCAAAATAAAGTAAAGTCGCACAATTTGTGGATCATACAAATGGCCAATGAATCGTGTTGTAATTTCATTCTATTTTTTATTGTTATTTTCTTTCTTTTTTTTTTTTAACGTCTCCTTTCGTTCTTAAAGTGATCAACCGACCCTCGTAATCACGTGTTACACCGATTGTATCGGTCACCGGTGGCGTGAACAGAAAACGAGGCGTAAACAGAAAGCTCAACGGCGATCACCGCTAACCGCCATGGCGGTGAATGTCGTTAACAAGATTCTCGTGCAAGCATTATTGCTAAAGAATAGATTTTCCGCGCGTGACAGGGAAGCGAACTTTACGAGAGAGTGAAATTTCCACTTTTCGAAACGCGGATAGCTGTACTTTAATTTTATGAAATTACACGCAGACTGCGAGGTAAATTTCCCCCTGTATTCGGATTTTAATGAAAATAGGAATACGTGTTTCGAGAATAACACACACACGCGCGCGCGCCATGAAATAGAAATTACAATAAAATTAATCTTGGTCGGTGAATGTCTGCGATAACTGCTTTACCGCTTGTTAGAACGTCCCGAATTCTCATCAAGTTTTCAATTTCGCCTCTGATAATGACGTCCCGCTGAACTGCAATGCCTCGCGATATCTGCGAATTAACTTGATACCTACGCGTGTTTCGATGGGCAAGAGTTCCCAAAGTTGGCGAATTAATTGACCCACAGATAGTCGTTGTGCTAGGTCTCTCCCTTCCTAAGTAAAACACTTAGCTTCGCCATTTGGACAAATTAGGGAAGCTGACCGACAGAACTCGATGTAATTAAATAGTTACTGTCTGCTACTATCAAATGAAATTGTATTGTACAGTTTTTAGGTGTGCTTTGAAACATTTGAAATATTTCTTATTATGTAACGAGGTGTTGTAAGTCTATAGTCTACGGTATTAATTCTTAATTATAATATTAATCTCTACGTCTAGCATCAAGTTCTTTTCTTGTGACATTTTTCTTTTTTGTGTCATTAGATGACTTTTGATACACAGTAGATCAATAATGATCGAAAAGTTTGAACTGTTATAACATCATAAAGAAGAATCATGTAATAATTGACTTGATCTCATCTTATACTTCTATTTTCACAAATTTTCCTAAATTCGTTCTTTTTTTTTCAAGAAGAGTTTACATCTTGCAATAGGAAAGTGAGGATGCTTC